TTATTTTTCACCCTATCATTTTTTTAGTCCTTGGCTGAAAGCTACTGAATATTGAAACAAGTATGTGGAGGAAGCTAGATCTCCAACATTAACGTTGACAGTCTGTGAAGAAAGTAGTCATTGTGGATAACTTACAAGATTTGGGATTCTGGCTTCCTCCTTCCAGTCACATTGTTGCTCGTTTGTTAAAAATCGCTCTACTTGTAAAGCTAACCACCCATTAGTGAGCAAAAGTTGTTCCTACTAATTGACAGAGGCGTGGGACAAGCAGCATAGTTAGAGGCTGGAGTAATTAATGGTCCAGGTGCCCTTTACTTCAGTGTCTGGCTCCTTCACTTATCATGTGTGGCCCTGAGCAGTTTTTCCCTCATGACTCTTAGCTTCATTTTCTTCCTTGAGAAAATTTCCCCTTCACTCTCCTTGGAGGAAATTAAATGATCAAAGAAATGATGTATCCAGAGCTTTATAAAAAGATGCCTAGATGAAGCGCATTAGAAAGGCCTTGATTTGAATAGGTATTAATTACTATAGCCTTTGCTTATTGATAAAACTGCATAGTTGAGCTTTTAATCGGCTACGTGGGCATAATTGGCCACAGGAGTTACATAAAATCCTAAGGGAACACACTCAATGTCACAAGTACCAATGACAATGTGTGGTGGCAGGTGTCCCTGTAGCCAAACCCAGGAATCTTCTGTGGAGTGACGCGAATGGTGAGGGTCTGTCCCAAAGCCAGCCCACTCAAAGCCCGTCCTACCCGATTTACATTAGAGGTGAGCTGCGCACAAATGGCTGTGCATATAATCCCAGCTACTCGGGAGGCTGAGATCTGAGAATCAAGGTTCAAAACTAGCCGGTGCAGGGAAGTCCATGAGACTCTTATTTCCAGTTAACCACCAAAAAGCCAGAAGTGGAGCCATGGCTCAAAGGGTAGAGCACTAACCTTGAATGAAAAATTAAGGGACATATCCAGACCCCTGAGTTCAAGTCCCAATACTGCCACCAAAAAAAAAAACGTGTGTGTGGGGTGGGGGGTGTGTCTTAGGATTGCTTCTTATTATCTTTGGTCGGTCTGTCTCATAGTGGAATGCTGAGGAGCTGGTGGGAGAAGGCTCTCAGCTGAGGGGCTGATAGAACAGAAATGTGCCAGATCCCCATAAAGGGCACCATATCTTTAGAGCAAGTGACACCTGGCCCTCTCAGACAGCAGCAATTGCTTGTGCCCTCCCTGTCTTACTACACTTACACTCCTGCTCCTCCACGCCCAGCTCCACGCTCTCCCCTAAGTGAGGACAAGTGTTCCCACACGTCCTCCTCAGCCCTCTGTCCCCATACAGCGATCCAATCCTGAAAAGCTACTTACTCATTCACCTGTTTCATTTGCACACAACAATGAATGAATTAATGAATGCTTAAAGCAGACATCCAGGGGATTGGTTGTTCTGCACCCTGTTAGAAAATTTTTGCAGACAGTACATCATGTTAGGGACATGCCTGGGAAGCAGGGGCCAGAGGCAGACACCCTCCCCAGGAAAGCCTCAGTGGCTGCAGCCCAGCAAGACCAGATGGGCCCTTTGGCAGACACGCGAATTTCCACACAGAGCTCAACATCAGGGACCACTTAGAGTGAAGGCTTGGGTTTGTGTTTTATTTTGCAAGGGGCTGGGGAAGGAGGCGTTGCCAGGGAACCAGCCTTCTGAGCATTTGGTTTCTGGGGCTCTTTATCAGGCGGGGAGTGGGCTTCAAAGGAAATGCACACATGGGTGTTTTTTTTTTCTCTCTCATGCACACCTCTGGCACACAGGTGCCAGGTGTGGCAGGAGAGGCCAATCTCCCTGCATGTCTAAGGAAGAGTGGACTTATACACACACACACACACACACACACACACACACACACACACACACACACGCCCCATGCTGCCTGGCCAGTGCAAAATTCAAAAGCAACATATTTAGACTTTCAAGATGGCAGCAGCAGAATATGCTTTTTGAGTGAAGGGGCGGTAGGTCCCTCACTAGGTCAGACTGTCATATCCAATTGCACTTTGCTTAAAGTCTCTTCAAGAGGGAGTATCAGCCAGGCACCCCTTTATTCAGATCTAAAGAGGAGATAGCATGGGGTAGGAAGAATAAATCTGCATACTCACATAGAGATTTCCAGCACATATTTTATCTAATTTTTAAGCTCAAATGAAGACTGAACTAAACCTGAGTGTATGTAGGCAGATCTCGCCTGTAATCCTAAGCTACTCAGGAGGCTGAAATCTGAGGGTTGCGGTTTAAAGACAGCCTGAGTAGGAAAGTCCATGAAATTCTTCTTTCTAGTTAATCACTAAAAAGGCAGAAGTGGAAACATGGCTCAAAGGATAGAGTATAAACCTTGATCAATAAAGCTAAGGGACAGTGCCCTGGCCCTGAGTTCAAGCCCTAGTACTGGCACAAAGAAGAAAAAAATAACTTGGAGATAGGAAATGCAAGGACAATTTCTTTGGTTGCTCTGGAGTCATTACTTGCCAGGAAGAAGTAAGAGCAATCAGGGATGATAGTATTGTCTGAATCTGTTGAGTGTTAATGCCAATAAGAGCTAAGGTTCTGCTGCTGCTGAGATCCTTTTTAGTAGGGTCATGATTGCCCTTACACAAATGGGAACACTGAGGCTAATGGGACCACTGCTGCATTTCTCCCAAGAGCCACCAACTTGGAAGCCAGCAAGCCCCAATCCAAGCAGTCAAGCATCAAAGCCCCAGCACCTGGCCAGGCTGGTCCACACCTGACTTGTAGGACATGAGGCTGACATCATAGAGCCCCTTGTTTATGTGCTGGTGTTTATGTGTCTGGAGCCAGATACCTGGCACTTGGGATCAGAGAGGAAGTTGGGGTGCTTCCATGGAAGGATGGATAGTTACTTGAACATCCATCTAAGGGGAGCCAGGGACACAGGGCTATGTATTAGACAAGTGAATCCTCTACAAGGGAACATGGACACAAAGCTGTCTGGGCTTTGAGTCATTTGTTCTCAGCAGCTCTCCTTTGGTGGGTGGCTCACATGTAATCCAGCTACTCAAGAGGCTGAGATCTGATGATGGAGGTTCACAGCCAGCCCCGGGCAGGAAGGTCCACGAAACTATCTCCACTTAACCACCAAAAATGCTGAAAGAGGAGCTGTGGCTCAAGTGGTAGAATGCTAGTTAGCCTTGAGCATGAAAACTTAAGGACAGTGCCCGGGGCCTGAGTTCACCGTCCTTCCACAAAACAAAACAAAAACAAAAATTAGAGAAGTTTCTATTTTGGAATGACCCGCACTCAAAATCATGAACAAATGAAGTTGCTCCTCAAGAAGAGACGGTAGATGCCCCTAATTCCCTAGAGCTTATGCTGGGAAAATAATTTTAAGTTGCAGCAGGGAAACTTTGGAGAGAAAAGAAGGTAGCCACTCTAGAAACCAGGTTTTTATTCCGTCCCAGTTTTACATCGATGGCAAATCCGTTGGTCGGGTATTGACTGCCAGTACTCTGGGCCTGGACAGATAAGATTGACAGAAGCTGGGCCCTGTGGTTACACCTGCGATCCCAGTTACTTAAGAGGAACTGGTCAGGAGGAACGTGGCTGAAAGGCAACCCTGGGCACCAAGTTATCAAGACCTCATCTCACCCACTAAGCCAGGTGGTGTGGTTCCCTGTCATCCCAGCTACTCCACAGATGGAAACTGGGAGGATCGTTAGTCTGAGGCTGGTCTTGGGCAACAAATGTGAAACTCTATTTAACAGATTAACGGGAGTGAAATGGGACTGGGGGCATGGCTTTAGTTTAGCCCCCAATATAAGAGGGAGGGAGAGAGAGAGAGACTGGGAGGGAGGGAGGGAGGGAGGGGGGGGGAGGGAAAAGTTGATGAGCCCCAGGAAGGTGGTTTGTATGGTGGAGGAATCATGGGCAGACAGGCCTGAAGAGGGTCAGACTCCCACATCAGGGCTCTGGAACGAGACCCTAAAGACGCCCCTGATCTCAGGAGTTCTCGAAAGGGGTCTCGGGGGCGGTGGGGGGGGGGGGGTCAGCCACTGGCAGGGGAAGGCCCACTCACATGCTAAGCCCCCCGCGGGGGATGGATGCAGCCTCCGTCCCAGTGGATACCGATGCGCGCGCAGCCTCTGCCCAGGCCTCCCGGACGGACGGACGGACCGACGTCCCCGGCGGGCCGGGCAGCTTTCACTTTCACCCAGCGTGGGTCCCGGGGCGCCTGGGACATCTCCAACTTGCAGCCGCCTCCCAGCCGCGCTGCGCCCTCCCAGCGCCCCGGGCGTGGGGTCTGTGCGCCGGGGTCCCTCCGGGCCCTGGCCGCAGAACGCTGGCTTCTCTTTGTGCTGCACAAAGCCGAGGGCGAGCGCGGCGGGCGCGCGGATCGCGGGGTGGCCGGGGACCCCCCCACCTCCCTCCTCCTCGACCCTTCCCGCCCCCGGCAGCCTCCGCCCTGCGCCTGCGATCGCGTCCCGGGCCAGAGCACATTAGCGGCAGGAAGTGGAGTCCCCGATGGGAGGCTGGGAATTTGACCGCCTGCCCATTTCAGCACTTGAGGGGAGGAAGCGCCGGGGCGCAGCCCGCCCTCCGCCCGGCGAGGGTGGGCGCAACGCTCCCGCCCCCCTCCTCCCCCCTCCCCTCCTCCCTCCTTGGAGGGAAAAGTCTGCGGAGCTGGGAACTGTCCTACACCACTCAACAAAGGCGCACCGGGAGGACAACTCGAAAAAAGAACTTGTTTTTGTTTCCCCTGAAGAAATCTGCAGGGAAATCCACACCCACGCTGCCCGGGATTTTGAACCCCGGAGTTGCTCTGTGTGTGTGCGCGCGTGTGTGCGCGTGTGCGCGCGTGTGCGGATGCCCCAGCGGAGCAGGAGGCACCCACCACTGCACGGGCTCAGCTGTGATAAGGAAGCTGCCAGCTGTGGGAGGTGAAGCCTTGAAGAAGGAGCCGCTGGTGAATTTAAACTCCCGTTGTTCTCTGTCCAGATATTCCAGTGGAGGCAGCTGGAAAACCTGTATTTCAGGGAAAAGAAGTTTTCAGTGGAAGTCCATGACCCACGCAGGTAAGCTTGAAAAAAAAAGTCCTTGTTCTCGAGAGCACAGTAGAGCATGCCATTGATACGATGATGATGATGATGATGGTTGTGCCTGTGGGATCCTTGTTCAGTTTGAGAGGAGGGTGGAGGGGGAGGAGAGGGAGGGATTGGGGAACCTTGGAGGACAGAGTTCAAGTCAGAAGGTAAAGCTTTATGTTGATAAATGCTGTGTGTGTGTGTGTGTGTGTGTGTGTGTGTGTGTGTGTGTGTGTGTGTGTGTGTGTGTGATTAGCGATTCCAAACTCTGGCTTCATCCTACTTGCTCTCTGCATATGTGTGTCTTTGCACGCCAGGGGACTTAGCAAGAATGTCGGTGGCACTTTGGAACAAATACCAAGTTCCCCTGGGCAGTGGCTCAGTCCCTCTGGGAAGCTGTCCCAAAGAGCAGGCCAAAAAAGCTTGCTCATCAGAGCTGCTCAGAGTAGGAGAGGATTTCAAGCAGGACAGTTGACACTAAAAGGAATTTGTCACTAAAGCCATTGTTTTCTTCTGGCAGTTGTACTCTTAGGATGTGAGCGTGGTGACTGCGTGTACAGACGCACCATTGTTTTTCCCTCCAGAGAACACAGGGTGAAAAATCCGTGTTTCAAGTCCAGTGCCAGACAATAAGTTTGGAATGCAGAGTCGGGCGTGGAAGGGGTCCGGGGCAACATTTGCCCTCTGCTTTTCCTCTTTGTCTGCTGGCAGGCCCCAAACAGCCACAGAATTACTTAGAACCAGGCTGACACCTGAGAAGGAAGGCAGAAGAAGCACATTGGCAGAGTAGCCTGGGGAGACAGTCCAAAGTTCTGCCGCTCCAGAAAATCCAAAATGAACCTTTAGGGATGGGTGATACCCAGTTGCAGACTGAGAGGAAGAGCTGACATGAATGCCACTGCACTCTTGGCTCTGATTCCATGAGACAAGCTGCCGTGCCTCCCAGGGAGCGCTGGGGACTGGAAGACATGTCGTACCCATGACAGGGCTGGGGGGGGGGGGGGGTGCGGCTGCCTGGGTTCCTGCAGCTGGTGATAACTCCTGGGGATCGTGTACAGCTTACCTTGCCCTGTAATCTGCACGGAGCAGCCTCTCTAGGCCACAGCTTATCCCTGCCCCCACAGTACCTGTGGGACTAGCAACTGGAGAACATTCTACAGGATACCTGTGCCTGAAGTGAGGTGCAAGCAGGAGTCTTGAACAAAAGGATAGCTAGTGGTTTTCAGGGTCTTGCCGAATACAGGCCAGTCCATCTGCACAGCCCCACAGGGAGAGGGGTTCTCCAAAAAGAACTCAGCCAACAAGAAACGCAGGGCTGTTTTTCGAGGTGAACTCTATCATAGCAGATTCTTCACCACCATGTGAGAGTCAAGGAAAATCTAAGAGTGAAATGAATGGGTCAGATGCCAGAGAAAATTGAATAAATAAATATTATTTTCCATGCTTGTCCTCTGCTGGGAATTCTGCTCTCTCAGAGAGCACCTTGGACAAATCATTTTAAGCCTCTATGTGTGTGTCTGTGTGTACACATGCACTCACTCTGTGCATTATCATCCCTATCAGCAATGCAGTATAAATTTCCTTCTTTTCCCCAAGATCCAGAGATAGAGAAAAGCATCCAACCTCAAACCTTACCACTAACTGGGCTTTCGCTTATTAAAACAAAAGGAATCTATCCCATATGTTCGGGGAAGCTTCTGTTTGGACACTGGGCTTGTGGTGGTAGGGTACAAGGGAAACACCAAGGCAGGTCCTCTTCCTTGAAGAACTTTTAGCAGAGTTGGGGTGACAGGTAGAAGAAGGAGCTGACACTTTTGGGGGGAATTGAGGGGCCCTCTGAAGACACCAGTCTAAACATACACATTCCTTCAGTGGGTCCTATTGTTATTCCCGCTCTATGTGTGGGAAACTGAGGCACAGAAGGTATAGTAACCCACTGTAGGTTGTAAACAGCCAGTACACAGTACAGACAGGTTTTGAACCCAGAGGTCTGCTCCACTGTAACTCAAGGCTGAGTGCCAGATAGCATAAACCCTAAGTGCTAGGGGATACAGATGCCAAAGCAAGACCAGCTGGTCCAGAGGGGCTTCCTGAGAAGAAAATCTGAGCTGAACCTCAAAGGGTAACTAGGATTAAAGCCAGGATGTGGGCTCGAAGGCAGCTCAGGACACCAGGCAGGAATGTCCTTCCTCATCTGAAGTCCTAAAACAGACAGGAGGAGAGGACCCACAGGTGGCTTGCTGAGCTTGGAGTATGGCCAGCTCCTCTGAGGAAAGTAGTCCTCAGTCCACCATGTTTCTTTTTCCCAGAGATGAGCAGGAAAGCAGATGAGGCCCACACTAGCTTCAGCTGGAAGGAAAAGACTCTGGATGTCCAAAGAGAAGGAATTGTCTCAAGCCAGCTAGTTACATGGCAGAGCCACCCACTAGTTCTTTCCACCTACTAATTCCCCTCTCGTGGGCCGGTGGAGTTTTTAATGTGGCATTGGTCTCCCTGTTGCTTGCTGCCTTGCTTATTGGGAACAGGGAGGTTCATCTAATTAACTTTACCTTGATGTTGACCTTCCCTCCTCCAAGCCAGGGAGAGAGCTGTTCACAGCTGGGAAATGCCAGGTAGAATCAGGTAATGATGTCATTGGTGGGAGCCCACAATGACAGCAACATCACTCGGGGTCAAGGGTGCTTGTGAGGACCCACGGGGCACCCGATGTGCAGTAGACTTCGTCCATCTACACAGCCTGACTCTCCTAACCCACCTCAGCTTCTACCAGTCTCTAATAGAGCTGAAATAGGGCAAACCCTACTTCATTTCCAAGATTTGGCAACAATAGGCAAGTCAGTGAGGTGGGAAGGGCCTGAAAATGGAGATTGAGTCGAGGAGATAACTCACTAATGGAGGAGGAGAGACGTCTGGCAGAATCTGATTTAGATGGATCCGGGGAGCCACTTAACCTTTTGTCACTTGTATTACCTAAAAGCCAGCAGCACCCAGTGCTAACCACTATCCTCACCACCACCCCCCCCTTTATAATTCCTCTTTCTAAATCTCCTTCAGTTTTTCTGGAAAAAAATATATATTTATTCCCAACTCTAGCAGTTGCCCTAGAAACCAATCTTTACCTCAGGTCACAATGTTCAAAACTACAGAGACCTGGTGGGGAAGGGAGAGGCCTCCTTCTCCCCCCTCCTCTCTACTCGTTCCCACCGTACACACTTTCCCTTAACTTTTGTTTGAACTCAAGAGAGGAAAGCCCTGCTTAGTATCAGGTTTCTAATCACCAGATTTGAATTTCTTCTTAGAAGCAGGTATGAAGAAGCCGGAAGTGTTTTAAGTTTTAGACGAGGGGAAAAAAATGGGCTATGAGTGGGGAGGGGCAATGCTGTTATTCACAAATCTTATGCTTCATTACCTATCTTCCTCTTGAAACCATACATCTCTTTTTCTTCCTCCTCTTCTCGTGTGGGTACGAGGGCTTGAATTCAAGATTTGAGTGTTGTCCCTTAGCTTTTTCTGCTTAAGCTTGGAGCTCTGCTACTTGAGCCTGCTCCCACTTCCAGTTTTTTGCTGGTCAATTGGAGATAAGATTCTCTTGCGTTTGTCTAACTGGGATAGCTTTGTGCTGAGATCCTCAGATCTCAGCCTCCTGAGTAGCTAGGATAACAGGCGTGAGCCACCGGCTCCCAGCATGAACCTTACTTTTGACATACAGATCAGATACCCCAGTCCCACCCAACCTGCATCATCTGTCTCCCTCATACCTCACATGAACTCCTCTCTCTCTCTCTCTCTCTCTCTCTCTCTTTCTCTCTCTCACACACACACACACACACACATACACACACACACAACACACACACACACACACACATACCAGGACACATTCTCAGGTTTCATTTGTTCTCAGATTTTTATCTCCCAATCATATAAAATATACCTCACTGAGAATATGACCACATAGCTCTTTTTCTCCAAAACTCCATTAACATGTGAATTGTGTTGGGATCGGAGCTTTGTCTTCATTTTAAAACTCTTGATTGCACCTCTCTACTTCACACATGTGTATTCTCTTTAGGCATATAAACGTCTACACAGTGGCCAGGGGAACTGATCAGCTTCTTCCTCTCTGCCTTCCTCCTTCCTTCCTCTCTCTGTGTCTTGACTCTCCAAGCCTCCTTGCCCCTTGAATCTACTTGGACTGTTGAGGTAGACTGATATAAGTCTAGTTATCTTCAGATGCTGTGACCTGTGGCCCCCAGGGAAGAATTCTACTCATCTTCACCAGAGGCAGCGTTTACCTGATTCGCGGAGAGCTTTTCACCTTTGAGGTTTGCCTTCGCCCGAGGGAGGAGCTGAAGATCAGGAAGTCCTCCAGCCTACAAAGATCTGTCTTATCCCAGAGCAGGAAGAAACTTTCAGAGCCCTAAGAAGTCAGTCACACACATGTGCCTGTGTGCCTGAATCTGTTTGTGAGTGTGTGTGAGCGCACACGTGTCTGTGAGTTCCTCTGTCCCCTTCATACCAGGGCTTTTAGGACCCCATGGTTCTCCTATAAAAGCTATTCGACGAGCAACTTTGCCCACCCTGATCAACATAAAAACTAATGACTCTCACTTTCATAGGGCTTCGGTGACAAGGAGGACCTTCGGACACAGTGGCATTGCAGTACACACGTGGTATGCGTGCCCGGCGTTGATCAAGTCCATTTGGGCGATGGCAATTAGCCAGCACCAGTTCTATCTGGACAGAAAGCAGAGTAAGGTAAGTGCGCAGATTTGGGAGCTGGCCTGGGGGCAGAAGTTTAGGGGTGGGAATTGGATGGGTGGAGAGGGAGGTGCCCTGTCTTTGGCCTGAGTCTTGTACAGGTAGGCACTTGCCTCTTGGGGCTTCAGGTGGGAGGGGAAAAGGCCGATTCCTCTTTAAGAGAGGGCAAGTCCATTGCTACCTGGTTTGGGGCTCTGGCTCTGCTACCATTGTGGCTACTCAAGCAGCCTGCTCCAAGCAGGCAGAGCCCAAGGGAAGAATTCCCAGCCTGCTTTGGGAATTCAGAAGACACTCTGAGGAGCAGACCTTCCAAATGGAGCCCTACTGGTTGTTTAAACACTGGGATATTGTTTTGTTTTTGAACAAAAAGCATTTTTTTTAAAAAAGAGTTAACTATTCTTAACTCATAGACACCACTTAACTGTTTAGGTTAATTGCTGTGAAAACCCTCCAGGCTTTTCCAACTGCCAACTTCATTTCTAAAAATGCAAAACTGGAAAAGCAAAAGCGCGCGTGCACACACACATACACACACACGTAGCAGCCCTGTTTCCCTCTGGTAGAGCCAGAGCCTCAGGCATTGGGAAAGAGCCATCTGTCCAGGAAGATTCACCTACCACCCCCAGCCCAGACACAGGGCTGTGTTTGTGGGTGGGTGGGAGAATGACGTGTCCCTGGTTCACATAGGGCTTATGTCAACACTCTGCCCCCTCTTACTCCACCTGGCCTCCCCTCCTCCCCTTCCAGCCCCCTGTAGGCCACTCCCACTCAGGTGACTCTGCACTAGTCCCAGCATCCTGCTGGTGGGAACACCAGCCTTGGCCTCCTGCTGAGTGGGTCCCCCCCCCCACACACACACCCATGGGGGTTTCCTTTCCCCTTGGGCTCTTTCTCAGGAGCTGGCTGAGAACTCTGTTCTGACTGCACCAAGGCCACTAGATCAGTGCCCTCTTGGGCTCTTTCTGTTCTGCCTTGTTTTCTTTTATTATGGGCTTTTCTTTTTCTTGGAAGGAGTTGGGGTCAAGTCAGGGCAGGGGATCAGAAGAAAAGAGCAAGAGAAATTGTTGGGAGGGATGAAGCACCCCCCCCCCCCCGAGTTCCGGTGACAATCACTAGCTCCTTTGTCAAATACTGTTTCCTGTTCTAAGTCTTCTTCCTGATTGTTTTTTTTTTCTTTTTGGTTACTTTCTGGGGTGACTGTGCCCCAGGGGGAATATTTTAGTGGTAGGAATTATGGGACTATCTGTAACTCTCCTGGTGGTTGGTGGCCCCGTACACAAAAGTGTAAAGCTCAATTAGATGGAAAGAAACAGGGCCGAAGGGTCTGGCTCAGGCTTTGAGACAGTGCGGGGGGGGGGGGGGGGGGGGATGAGGGGGCAGCACCCGGCTCTCCCGGGCTGAGAGTTAGAGGTCACCACCTTTAAAAGTTGATGCACCCCATATGTGGTTCGGCAATGGGTGGCAAAAAATGGAGGATTAGGAAAATGTCTTGAACCCCACTGCCAATTCCTCTTGAACACACACACACAACCATACATTGATATCAGAATCTGAAAAGGGGAAAAATATGTAGCACATTTCAACTAGAGGAAGGTATGCCCTTCCGTCAGTTGGAGGTCCTGGCTGTCTCACACAGCCTGTTCTTGGGGTCCTTTAGCCCCCACCCCCCTTCAGATATGGCCCATACCTGGGCAGCATTGCCCAGCGGGTTTCAAGGTCAGCTGCTAGCATAGCAAGCGAATCTCAGAATGAAGCCATCCTAAATCACTTAACAAACAAGCATCTTTTAAGAAATAAAATCAAATGCCTAGAGCATTAAGATCTCAGCTGTCATGCTCAGTACCCTGGGGGACAGAAGAAAAGTTCCCCATTTCCAACGGGAATAGAATTTCTCCCCAGAAATCCTTGCACAGTCAAGAATGTTCTAGAACTCTTGCTTTACTCCTAGGAACCAACTCTTCAACCTCAGAGACAGTGGAGGACCAAATTTCCCTACTTGAATATTAGACAGCTCTGTTTTCTAGCTCCATGACCTTTGACAGGTTTTGTGGGAGGAGGGGTGTGCATAATGTACACATGTACCAATCCTGGGGCTTGAATTCAGCTGATTTGCTCAGGGCTAGTGATCTAACACTTGAGGCACAGGTCCACCTCCAACTTTTTTGGTAGCTACTCAGAGATAAGAGTCTCACAGACTTTCCTGCCCAAGCTGGCTTCATACTGTGATCCTCAGGTCTCAGCCTCCTGAGTAGCTAGGATTACAGATGTGAGCTGTCCCCCCACCTGACTTTGAACAGGTGTTTTATATATTCATATGTGTTTTTCCTAACTAGCGAATGGGAAAGGAACCCTCTGACCTAAATCAGTAGCTGGACAAATGACACAATGTTTGTGAAATTGTGCTGTCTTTTATTAACACACTAATTAGTCTAATTTACTGTATCCTGCCCAATGCTTTCTTCAAGTTTAAATTCTCTCAAAGACCCCACATTACATCAAAGACGATGACATTAATTCCTTGTAGGAATTACATAACACCTTTCGTCTTTGCAACTTCATTCTTCACTGAAGAAGGGATCCATGACTAGTGATCTGTCTCTGGTGGGCTGTGTGGCTTTGGAGTGAGTGATAACTGACGGGCTTGAGATGGAAAAAAAAAATAGCTTTAAATATGTCTGGACAGTCCGTGTGGGCTGGCATCTTGGCTTGGCTTCACACTCTACTGTATGGGATGGTGCCAACCATTCCTTTCTCTGAAGTGCTTCAGCAAAGCTCAGGCCTCCCAAGTGATGTTTATCAACACCAGAGACAAGTGTGGTCTAGTGGCTTGAGTCAGCGAGGGCGGGGCTACCAAGACAGCACATGGGCTGCCCTGACGTTCAGGTCACCAAAAACCATTTAGGAAAACTCCTCTGTCTCCCTCTCCTCCCTTCCCACCCCCCCCCCGCCCCCCCACGCCCTCACCTCCCTCTCCTTCTCCCTCTCCCTCTTCCCTACTCTTTATTCATCATCACCCTACATGTGTACATAAAGAGATCCTTCCACTATCAAACATCAAAGGCAGAGTGGAAGGGAGGCTGTTGTACTGACCGGTTTCCTGTGGCTCATTCCGTAGGAGAGGCGATGCAGTTACTAATTATAATTGGTAACTTATATATGCTGACCCTCAAGATCAGAAATGTTGTCAGCAGGATCCCAGCAACTCTGGCAGCCCAGAGCCAAGAAATGTTTGTAAGACTTCAGAGGAAAATGTTTGAAAGCTTAAATTGTTTAGAGACATCAGACACTTTTCTTCTGAACTCAGAGTAGAGCTTGAGTTCCAAGGCAAACATCTTTCCTCCTCCTTAATCTTTTCTAAGTCTTCTTAAGCTTTTCTTTTTCTCTCTTTTCCCCAATCCAGTCAGCTAGTATTCATTCCATCTAGAATCAAAAGAAGAGTTATAAACACGATAAAGAAAAGAAAGCCCAGGGCTGGGAAGGTGGCTCAGTGGTAGAGCGCTTGCCTTGCATGCTTGAGGCCCTGGGTTCGATTCCTCAGCACCACATAAGCAGAAAAAAAAGCTGAAAGTGGCACTGTGGCTCAAGTGGTAGAGCACTAGCCTTGAGCTGAAGAGCTGAGGGACAGCGCCCAGGCCTAGAGTCCAGGCCCCACGACGTACCCAAAAAGAAAAAAGAAAAGAAAGCCTGACCTACAGAATCATCAGTGACAAGATGATATTTAAGGACAAGACTCTCAAAGCAAGACATTCAGCAGTTTATGGTTCTACCCTCAGTTCTTTTGGGTTGGCCCAGAGACGATACTTTGCAAAGAGAGAATCTCCCAGACAGTGTTCATTTTCTTCTTGTTTCTCTCCCTCTACAGAATCTGTTGCGTCATTATGATAGTTCCATTCTAGAAAGTTCTAGAAACTTCTAAGAATCTAGAATCTTTAAATGGGTTATCTGTTGTTCCCTCTCCCATATTATTTTCTGCCTGTGAGACTGGAGTGTAGCAGGATTAAAAGGGGGAGGTTAGAGAACTGGTTTTCCATGTGATTAATGAGATCCTTAAAATACCAGGTCAAGCCATCCATCTAACCTTATTTAGCAAATTACTTCCAGGCCCTAATTTATATCTTAGTCCTATTGCCATGGCTTTGACACATACCATCTAACTTACTCTGTATCCCAACTCTGTGATGTGGGCTTTAAGATCTCCATATTACAAACAGGAATCTGAGGACCAGAGAGGTCAAGGATTAAAATCTGATGGTGATTGATTGGAAAGAGTCAGGAATCCAATCTGGGTCTTTCGGACTTCAGAGCCTGGCCCTTGCCACTATGTTACATCGGTCCAGGACTTATTATAAGTTATTGCTACATAACTATGTAAGTGTGGGCTTCTTTGTATGGAAACACCGGTCTTGGGAAAGAGTCTTGCAGAAAGAAAGGAAGTAATGGATTGGGCTTGCTCTGCTTGCTTGGGGGATAAAGCACAACCAGATGGATATTGTAGATAGGCTGAGAAAGAAAGCCTTTTCCTGCCTTCTGCATCAAGCCACAATCCTGCAAGGCCTAGCAGCTGAGATTGTATTATGAAGAAGGGGACCCTAACCTGAGGACGGTGAGCTGGTTCTGAAGGCAAGGAAGAAAAATTGAGGTCAGAAAGAAGGCCTTAGCTGAGGGAGGACCAATGGCAAAGAGAGAGGAGAAGGAAGACAGTTCATACCAGGTAAATACCCAACATGCCTCAGTGTTTCCTCTGACCAACAAGAGTCTTGTTAACCGGAAGAAGTGTGCAGAGGGCGGAAGTGGAGGGTGGAAGTTGTTGTCATTCACCGGCACCACAACAACATCAGGCCAGAGGAAGGGCAAGGCCTCAAGGGGCCCTGGCAGCCTCTTCAGGACAAATGAGGGTGTCTAGGTGCAAAAGGAAGGCATAAATCAGGGGGAGAGGGCAGTGGTGTCTGCACCCCTCCGTAGCCTGCAGAATCTGCCTGTTCAGTGCCTTCCAGGTGTGGAAGGACCTAACCTTTCTCAGCCAGGCGAGAGCAGCACAGTGAGCAACTGGAAACCTCAATTATGACCCTCACCTGGCTCCATCCCTGTATGCTACAGTTAAAGGCCCCAGAGAGAGGAAAAGAAGAGCAAATGTGTGGGTTATAGAAGTGGTTGACTGAAATTCATGGTATAGGAAAAGCTGATTTCCCGAACAATGACAAAAATAACCAAATGAGCAATGCATGGAGGAAATGCAATGTATTTTCAATGTGAAGGTGGTAAGGCAGATAAGATAGCTTTGCTTTAAAAAAAAAAAAAAAGGCATGTTCAGAGATGGTACTGTGCATACAGTATTTTCTGATTATTAACTGCTGTGACTGTTCGCCAAATACAGCCAATTAATCTCTGTACTGAGTAGAGTTTGATAGGAAGACTTTGGAGCATATATTCAGGTATCAAAATAGACGCAAAGTCCATGGCAGATGCTTTTTGTAGGACCCAAGTATCCAAATCAACAGTTCCAGAAGCTTCTATCCATAATACACCATGGTTACAGGCCTAGGATGTTGACTTGATCCTTTAGATTTCCCCTTGGTCATCAGGCTAACAATTTAAGAGGTTTTAATCCTTTACAAACTCATTAAATTTTCATGTATTTGTTTCCTAAATCTCCCGTGTCATTTAGAAAGCTGGAAATTCCTTTTCCTTTTTAAGCTCACAATCATTATAGTCACAGGTTGTCATTGATTGCCGTGTGTCAGGTGGAAAAGCAAGGGGGGAGAGGGGTAGGAAAAGCAGAGAGGATGCTTTGTAGGCATTCTATGTCCCTGACCCAGCTCCAGCTCCCCCCACCCCCATGGTAGGTGGTTGTTTCCTGGTTTACATATGTATAATGAGACTCAGTGAGATTAAGCCCGTGATTCACACACACACACACACACACACACACACACACACACACACACACACACACACACACACACACACGCTGGACTAGGGCTTGAACTCAGGGTATGGGCACTGTCCCTTAGTTTTTTTCACTCAAGGGTAACTCTGCCACTTGAGCCACAGCTCTACTTCTGGCTTTTTGGTGGTTAATTAGAAAGAGTCTCAGGGACTTTCCTGCTTGGGTTGGCTTTGAACTGCGATCTTCACATCTCAGCCTCCAGGGTCTCTAATGCTTACAGGCGTGAGCTCTGATGGATGGTTGCCCATTTCGATCTTCCTTCCTGTCTGTCTGCCTGCCTTTCTTTCTTTCTTTCTCCCTGTCTGCCTCTCTTTCTTTCTTCCTTCCTTCCTTTCTTCCTTCCTTTCTTTGTATATGTGTATGTGTCTGCTCCTGGGGTATGAACTCAGCGCTTTACCACTAATCATCTTCATGACACTCCCTAGTCACGCCTTAGTTGTTTTTCAGATCCTGTCTCATACATTTATCCAGGCCAGCCTCAGACCACAGTTCTTTTTTTTTGTTTTGGTCGGTCGTGGGGCTTGAACTCTGGGCCTGGGCGCTGCCCCTATGCTCTTCAGCTCAATGTGAGTGCTCTACCGCTTGAGCCACAGCACCACTTCCGGTTTTCTAGTGGTTTATTGGAGATCAGAGTCTCACGGATGTTCCTGCCTGGGCTGGCTTTGAACCGAGAGATCCTCATATCTCAGCCTCCTGAGTATAGGCGTGAGCCACCGGTGCCCGGCTCAGACCACAGTTCTTTAGCCTCTACTTCTTAGTGGCTGGGAGTAAGTCATGAATCAGTGGGCCCAGCTTCCCATGTACTTCCACAGCTTACAAAACCATAGGCAGAGGAATTCCATCATTTGAGCAACTCCTGTGCCAACTCTGCTCCCACGAAGAGTTTTGGTGATTAGCATAGTTTGGGCCAGAGGGTTGCAGACCTGCTGAAATCTAGGACCAGCAGATGAGTGCTTTCTAATCCCTTTTGAGATGACTGTTTACCTTTCCATTCCAGTCCAAGATCCATGCGGCACGAAGTCTGAGCGAGATTGCCATCGACCTCACAGAAACCGGGACACTGAAGACCTCGAAGCTGGCCCACATGGGGAGCAAGGGGAAGATAATCAGCGGCAGCAGCGGGAGCCTGCTGTCCTCAGGTAGGGCCCGCCCCCTCCTGGAGGACGGTGGGTGGAGTCTTGCTGATGAGTTCAACCCCAGTTGGATCCCTGTGCAGTAGAGATAATGGTGGCTCCAAAAGCTAGCTCTAGAAGTAGAAGGACTGCATGGGTGGATAAGAAAAATGTCTGGAAGTATCCAAGAGCTAGTGGAGAGGATCTGCATGACTCCACCATGTGGGACGAGCTTCTGGGAGCACAGAAATCTCCCAAGTCATCCCCAGATCCTTTCAGAATGCTGCCCCAGTCATCAGGAATGTCAGCTCCAAGGACAGAAAGTGAGGTTCACTTCTGCATTCTTAAGCAGGGATTACTTAAAATATCTGATTACTATCTTTAAGTAGACATACAAAGGGGTTCAATTCCAGCACGTCAACTTGTGAGTGCAGTACGTCTTGATTCATGTCACCCCTTCCATCATTCTCCTCCATAAAGCAGGGATTGTACCGAGGTAGGACTGGCATCCACAATCATGGTGCTAAGAGATGCTACATTCTCTTGCCAAGAACTTCTTGGGATTTGACAGGTAGAGACTACTGTTGTCTCTGGGTACAGTAGGATGATAAACACCCTTTCTCACCGCAAGTCTGGAGATCCAGCTCTGCTGATGATTTCTGTGAGCCTGTGACGGGTCATTTTGTCATTAGATATGGGGACACACAGACAGATCTGAGATTACAGATCTGGCTGGCTTCAAGAGAAAATGCCACTTGCTGAAATGACAGGGAGTAGCTCAAGGAAGGGGAGAGAGAGACAGCGAGAGACAGTAAGAGACAGAAAGAGAGAGAGAGAGAGGAGAGAAAGAGAAGAGAGAGATTGGGAGAGTACAGTACGATTGTGTTTAAACATGAGAAAAGTATAACCAATGAAGAGTACTGCACATACCAGGTGGCTAAAACCTGATTGGCGTGGGTGTTGTATCACTTTGCCTCTGAGCAAAGAAGGTCTCCTCCTCCCTCCTCTTCCAGGGTCATTAAAACAGCTGCAACAACAATAGCAAATCAGAAAGAGAAAAGGGAGGAAGGGAAGCTCAGAGTTATCTGGTTGGCTCCATGGCTGGTGCCATACAATCCTAGCCAGGACAAAGCCTCCATGGAAAGAATTCTGGTAGGGTACCTGTCCTTCCTGCCCAGAGCTCAGGGAACAGCTAGAGACAACTAAGTTGGGGGCAGGGCACTAAGGGTGTGTTTACATCTTATGTTTTGTCAAGTCTCGTGCACTTCTGCACACTGTTGGTCACCAAAACCATAAGCTCCAGGCCCCACAAAACCTGAGCTGCCTCTGCCAACACCATGGGGTTTTACTCTAATCCCAAGGCTGCCTGGGATTCTCCTAAAGTGTTTCCGGCAAAAGGTCCTTCTTTGCAAGGCTTAGAAGTCTGTGTGAGTGGGATCTCAGCAAAAGTCCTTCTTCTTATATCAAAGAGAATGAATGCCATTCAAACCCTGAGACCCCTGCCTGGAATTACAGCCACTCCCAGCCTCCTGCTGAAAGGCTGAGGAGGGAGCCAAAGCCAACACCCTGTTTGTCTTTTAGACAAAACAGACAATGGCTTTCCCTAGCCATCATTAAAGTTGAGCCTCAGATAAGAGCCTGGGCCTAGCAGCTCATTTGCCTCCTATATTCAGTCCCGGGGAGTCTAGCCCCACGCCACCTGGGTTCGTCCCAGGCTGCAGCAGAGCCATTTGGCAGACACTGTGGAAAGGATCAGTGCTGGGCCTCCCCCAGAGATTCTGTAAGTGGGAGTAAGCCTGGGAATAAGGATATGTTGCCAACCCAGGATCTATACTTGGAGAGTCCATCTTCTTGCTAGGGGGAGAGGTAAGATCTGGAGGTGCGGGTGTCCCCAGATGCAGGTGAGGGTTTGTGACCTTTCCCTGAGAAACTAGTGGCTCTTCACTTAGGGCCCTTGAAACTTCAGTCAGAATGACTCTCTGGACATGCCATAATGGTAAGAAAACTTGGTGAAGCTTTATTGGGGAAACAAGCAGGCAAGCAGACATGACAGAAAGACAAGACCACACTAACAGAGTGTGGATGCCTCAAAGGGAGAGAGATGAGGCTCTTGGACATCCGGGTGATTTATATGATAAAGGCAGGGTCTGACTTAAAGTTATGCCCATAAGCGTTTTTCTTTACTCACTCTTGGTGTTACACTTTTACCGCTTGAGCTCAGAGGCCTGAGTGAGACTGCCTGTACATGAGCTATGTGCCCATCATGGTATTCCTTTTAGGAAAGAATGCATTTTGCCATGTATATGAAAACTGGTATTTCTCCTCAAGATAAAGAATGCATCCTGGCACAGATGTTTATCCTTTGAGATAAGCATGTTGTGCCAGGAAGAGCCATTTTTTCAAACACTTGCTTCCTTAGGAATACAGGTCTTTTTAGGATACAGGTCTTTTTGTTCGTTTGTTTATGATGGCCTTTCTCATCCTAATTATTTGGGGCCTGCAGGCAAGGTCAGATGGAGAAAGATGCTCTTGCTCTCTTTGTTTTTTCTCCTTGTGTTAATACTGCAGCTCACGAAGGTGCGCTAGGGTTAAGACAAAGAAGTTGGTACTGTGTTTCTAAATACGCCGCTCCTAAATTCCTGGCTGCTATTCACCTTACCTTCCTGTCTAGGGGTATTGCTCAAGATCACAGAATCCTGGTTCACCTGCCTGAGCCTCTCACATCCTTAGGACAACCTCCAGCAGCTGTAGACATAGCCATGACCAGAACCCCCAAACCGAACATCCTACAATGAAATGGGTTTCGTCCACGCAGCCTAGAAACAATACAATCTATTGCAGCCCTCGGGTTGACATGAATGAGCAAGCCAGCAGGCTAGAAAATAAATCACAAGAAAATCTTTGGGCCCAATCTACCCCCACACCTAATCTATAAGCATCTTTCTCCTAGGCTATTTAAGTGACTTTCAGATGTTTAATCTGGAGTAGCAAGGCCGCAGGTGAGATGCTTAGGAGTTGATAGGAACAGCTTAAGGCCACGAGCAGAGGAGATGCACTGGCTGGCATTGACACTCAGCGCTTTTGTCACAAAACCAGCTGGGCAAGAAGAAACACAGGGTGAGGAAAAGAACCCTATCAACCTCTTCCCAACCCTGCAAGCTGCAGCCTGAAAAACTCGCCTTCCTTGCCAAGGCTGAGGCTCCTTGGGGATGCCCCACGCCCACCCCCATGACTTAGGAAAAACAGAGAGGACAATGGGGGGAGGGACCACAAGCAGGATATGTGCCATCTATCACCAAGTGCATTTCTAGGATCTACAGATCTTGTCCTAGCTCCCTCCAAGGCTGCTTCCCTTGCCCCACAGCCCTTGCTGGCTCCTGTGTTGGAAGGACATCAAACCCTCTCCTGGGAAAGCCATTAGCCCCTCCCCTCTGGATTTCACAATTCTAAGGCCACCTCCCCCCCAATTCCCCACCCCTGCACCCCCACCTGAGAATTGAGGGGGCTGGCCAGTCTCCCACCCCTGTCTCTACCCTTTCCTCTCTTGCCTGTCATGTGCTGATAGATAGGACAAGCCCACAGGCTTACTGTCACAGCTCAATGCTGACCTGAAGCACTGTAAAGAAATACATGCATACATACATATATGTCAGATTTCCCATTATAACTTTTTATCAGAAAATGAAACACTGAATTGAACTTGATGGTGCCTGCCTGTAACCCTCATTACTCAGGAGGCTGAAGCAAAGGATCCTGAGTTTGAGACTGGCTTGTACAAAAGAAAGTAACTAGGGTTGGGGATATGCTCCGTTGTAGAGTACTTGGCTAGCATGTGCACGGCCGTAGGCCTGGATTCAGTCTCCAGTACTGAGGCGCCTGGAAAGAAAATGTGACACAAGAATGAATGTAAATGTGACATGGATAAACCAGTGTCAAGTCTGATAAACTGTTTCCTCTCCTTCCCCTTTTTTAAAAATATAAATGTTCCTCAAAAATATATCAGGCCAAGCTGGGTGCTGGTGGCTCACGCCTGTAATCCTAGCTACTCAGAAGGCTGAGATCTGAGGATCGCGGTTCAAAGCCAGCCCGGGCAGGAGAGACCGTGAGACTCCTATCTCCAATAAACCACCAGAAAACCGGAAGTGGCGCTGTAGCTCAAGTGGTAGGGCGCTGGCCTTGAGCTGAAGAGCTGAGGGACAGCGCCCAGGCCCAGAGTTCAAGCCCCACGACCGACAAAAAAAAAAAAAAATATCAGGCCAGGTGCCAGTGGCTTACGCCTGTAATTGTAGCTACTCGGGAGGCTAAGATCTGAGAATCACAGTTCAAAGCCAGCCCAGTAGAAAAGTCTGTGAGACTCTTAGTTAACCACCAGAAAACTGAAAGTAGCTCAAAGTGGTAGAGCACTGACCTTGAGCAAAAGAGCTCAGGAACAGCACCTAGACCCTGAGTTCAAGCCTCCCATGACTGGTGCATGCATGCACATGCACACACAGACACAGACACAGACACACATACATACAGCTAAAGGATTACCATGTTATCAGTAATTTTTCCTTTTTATGGGCATGTAAATTACCTTTAACATTGCCAAGAAATCCAATATCCAGAAATCTTCAATGTCCAGGGCCTCAAATGCTGCACAAATAAAGAAAAGTCGTGATAATCTTTGACAAAAGTCAGAAGTCCGTGCTGACTCATGCCCTGAGCTGTGAGCAAGCATATTGAAAAGAAAATGGTAACGTAGTTGAATGAATAATTCCACGTGAGCGGGGACCCTGAATCCTGCAAAGGGCCGGAGCCGGAGCTTCAGAGGCCTCGATCCTCCAGGAACCTTGACATGGGTTCCCTCTACATCAGAGCTGCAGGCCAGAGCTGGGATAAATCCATCTGTGTGTAAGATGCAATAAGTCTGCTAACTCACCTCTGGGGTTAGCAGTAAGCTTGTTGTGCTCCATAAGAGCCCAGAACTTTCCTCCAAATTTGGAAATGACTCCTCTGTCCATGGCTTTTACTCCTCTGTGTGGAGA